CATCCATCCACCCATCCATCATCCATCCATCCACCCATCCATCCATCATCCATCCATCCACACATCCATCATCCATCCATCCACCCACCCATCCATCCATCCATCCACCCATCCATCCATCCATCCATCCACACATCCATCCATCCATCCATCCATCCATCCACACATCCATCCATCCATCCATCCATCCATCCATCCATCCATCCATCCATCCATCAACCACATGGTGCTAGTGAACATAAGGATCACATGGAATCAGATGAATGGAGCATCTCATACACCTCAAGGCTCGAAACGTCACACTCTGCTGTTCTAAACGGAAAAAGCAAAATGTCTCCAACATCAGAACTTAAGTCCAGATCTTGTGCTTTAGTCTCTTTTGATCTGCCATGTCTTTGACACCTGAGAACCGACACCTCCAGGGAGTTACCTCTGGTTGCAGAGCTGGCATGCAAAGCAGTCCAGGTGGTAGACGTTCTCCTTGGCTCTCATGACCATCTCAAAGGCTGGAATTAACTTGCTGCAGGCTGCACAGTTCCCCGTCACACCAAACAACCTGAACCACACAAAAACACACACATTAAAGTGTTATTCATCCAAATGGGAATCTCAACAGAAGACTTTATAGAATGAAAATGAAACGCATAAAACTATATTTTCTACAATAAAGCAGAAACATTCAATTCTACACACTGAGTTTCTCTTAAATTATACTAAAGCAAGGGGCGGCACGGTGGCTCAGTTGGTAGAGCTGCCTCCTTTCAGCTAGAAAGTTGCCAGTTCAAATCCCGTCTGGAGACCTTTCTGGGTGGAGTTTGCATGTTCTGTCCGTGCTGCGTGTGTTTTCTCCAGTTTCCTCCCACAGACCAAAAACATGTATGTTAGGCTCATTGATAACTAAACTGTTCCTATGTGTCCCTGTCATGGACTGGAGACCTGTCCAGGTGTCCCTTGCCTCTCACACAGTGAGTGCTGGACATGGACACCGGTGACCCGAAAAGGAAGAAGCGGGTAAAGATGATGGACACTAAAGCAGGGACACTTTAATCCTGAAGAAAGACACTTTTCAACGAGTTAAAGGTCCATTTTTCATCAGTCAGGCCTCATGCCAGAACACTCTTATATTTCAAATAAAAATGTTCTTTTCAATCAAAAACAAAAAACTTACTAAAATAACGTCATTTGCATTTTCACATAAATAAAAAAAACTGCTGAAGATTAAAAACAAATGTCACGGGGGGTGTTCAACAGGTTCTGCTCCTGTTTACTCTTCTCACGTATGATTGTGCAGCTACCCATCCAGGCTGTCACATTGTAAAGTTTGCAGATGATACAGCGGTGGTGGGATGCATCACAAACAATGATGAGTCCAGCTACAGGCAGGAGGTGGAACACCTGGAGAGCTGGTGCAGAGAGAATAACCTTCACATTGATGTGAAGGTTATTCTC